AGAATTCAAAATGTTAAATACTTTTAAATATTAAAATTAACTTTATAAAAAATTAGGAAAAAAAATTAATCCAAAAGAGTTCAAAAATGTATTATAATATTCTCAATTTTAAGTTTAATTATATTTTTCATTCTCAAAGTAGAAAATTATATTGTAATTATTTTAATTTAATAAAATATAATTTAAATTTTTAATACTCAAATTAAAAGATTAAATAATAATGAATTTAATTCTATAAATTGAGTATTTGGAAACTAAAATTATAGTTTCTCTGTTTTAAATAATTAAGATAAATAGTTAAAAATAGAAATCAAAACTAGTATTATCTTCAATTTATTAAAAGTGTAATTAAATCTCTATTTTCTTAATTTTTTTTGTTTCAAACTTCTCAATTCTACATTTTTGTAACTTCTATCATTATATTATCATCCTCATCTCCTTCCATGTTCAACTTTATCTTTACAATAGTCAATATTCTTAAATATTTTATATTTTTAATTATAATTTTTAGTATATATTTCAGAAATTAATCAATTATAATCTATTATTTGAAAAACTAATCAATTCTAATCTATAATTTAGAAAACTAATCGATTATAATTAATTATTTGAAAAAATTATCAAATATGATCGATCATTTTGAAAATCTAATCGATCAGAATCAAAAAATCTGGTTGTATATGATAGTGGTTCCACTAAAAGAGCACTTCTAATAGCGGTTAAACCTTAACCGCTATCTAACTATATTTTATTTATTGATTGATACATTTTTTCATCAGATATCGCTCGAGCGAGACTATAGTCGCTTAAGCGAAACACAACCCGAGAATGCCAATTTTGTGCGGGGCGTGTCGCTCGAGCGAGACCATTGTCGCTCAAGCGAAATACATTTTAGATAGCGGTTCCACAGAACCGCTCTTAAAAGCGCAGTTATAATAGCGGTTAACCCTTAACCGCTATCTAAATTATAGTTTAGATAGCGGTTAACGTGGAACCGCTATCATATCTTCTCAATTATTATCTATCATTTCTAATTATAATTGATCATAATGAAAACTTACATTAACTATTTTTTTGAATATTATGTTTTTAAATTTGCTATTAGAGAAAACCTTTCAGAATTCAAAATGTTAAATACTTTTAAATATTAAAATTAACTTTATCAAAAATTAGGAAAAAAAATTAATCCAAAAGAGTTCAAAAATGTATTATAATATTGTCAATTTTGAGTTTAATTATATTGTTCATTCTCAAAGTAGAAAAATATATTGTAATTATTTTAATTTAATAAAATATAATTTAAATTTTTAATACTAAAATTAAAAGATTTATGTTGCATGAGGTTTCTTCACTTAAAAGATTTTGCAAAATGCCTCTAAAAATGTTTTTAACAATTAAAAACAAAGTATTTTGACAAAAGATTTCTCAAACAAGTTTTTAACCGATACAGACTTTGATAGAACCGATTAAAATTACTTAAAATGTCAAGTGAAATGTTTTTACAATATTTTAATCGATACAACTTGATTTTAATCGATTAAAACCACTTAAGGGTTCAGGATGATCGATCAAAATGCAATTATGACCGATCAGAATCAGTTATGATCGATCAGAATTTAGTTATGACCGATCAGAACTATTTTAATCGATTAAATCTCGTTTCAATTGATTAAAACAATTTAAAAATTTCTACACAGCGTTTTAATCGATTAAAACTTATTTTTATCAGTTAAAATAACTTGAAAAGTTTTACAAGAAAGTTTTGCAGTATTTCAATCGATTGAATCGCGAAACAATCGATTAAATCAACTTAGAAGATTTTTTGTAAAGTGTTTTAATTGATATAAACGTTGTCGTATCGAGTTAAAACAAATCTGTTAAAGAATCAAGAACGTATTAATGGATTAAAAGAAGTTTTAACATATTAAAGCTGCACTTTTAACAGATTAAAAGAATCTTTTAACAGATTAATTAAACCAGTAGCTTTGAAAATCTTCTATAAAAACAGTTTGGCTTGAACTTTTTTAACATACATTGAATATAATCTTTTACACATCCTTGAGCAATCAATCAAGCAAACTTCAACACTCTTTTCAAGAAAGATTCGCATCAGTTTTTGAGAAGTTCTTTGAAAATCTTTCTTGAGGCAACTTGATTTCTTTTGAAGAAGAAACACTTACAGCAGAATTGCATAAACTGGTTTGAGCATTCTAGTTTCTTCTTTTTCATTTCTTTACATTCTTTTTGTATTGTTTGGTGCACTGGAATTTGGGCACTTGGTTTCTCTCAGTCTGGAATTTGGTTGTAGAGGTTATTAAGAGCTGGAATTTGGTAATACTAGAAAACATTTCAGAAAGCAAAATGTTAAATACTTTTAAATATTAAAATTGACTTTATAAAAAATTAGGAAAAAAAATTAATCAAAAAGAGTTCAAAAATGTATTATAATATTTTCAGTTTTAGTTTAATTATATTTTTCATTGTCAAAGTAGAAAAATATATTGTAATATTATTTTAATTTAATAAAATATCATTTAAATTTTTAATACTAAAATCAAAAGATTAAATAATAATAAATTTAATTCTTTAAATTTAGTATTTAGAAACTAAAATTATAGTTTCTCTGTTTTAAAAAATTAAAATAAATATTTAAAAATAAAAATCAAAACTATTATTATGTTAAATTTATTAAAAGTATAATTAAATCTCTATGTTCTTCAATTTTTTAATATAAATTTTTAAAATATAATTTAATTTCGATTGAAATTTTCAATTGAAAAAGAAATTCAAGAATATTTGTTATTAAACTTTTCTTAAACAATGTATTGAATAGTTAACATCACTCTAGTCTTAATTTATTACAATTTAAATTTTTAATAAATTTGATTTATTACAATTCATTTTGTTAATATTGAGACAAAAGTTTATTTTTAAAGTATATTTTAAAAATTAAAATATTTTTAAAAAATAAATTACTTTTAAAAAATAAATTGTAAAAAATATACTAAAACAATTAAAGTATATTTATAAAAAAAAATTAAATATAATAAAAAAATAATATTCATTAGCGATCGATTTCAATTCGGTCGCTATTTTCTCATTAGCGACCGATTTTAATTCGGTCACTATTTCAATTTGTAATTCGGTCGCTAAATCAATCGCTAAATGATTTTTTTATTTTAGTATGAAAATAGCCATCGATTTAGCGATCGAAATTTTGCGACGCAAAATATTGGTCGCTATTTCAGTCGCTAAATAAAAAAGTGCAAAATAAATCATATTTTGGTCGCTAAATCGGTCGCTAATTGCAATCGAATAAAAGTGGTCGCTGAATCGGTCGCTAATTGCGACTGAATTAAAGTGGTCGCTAAATCGGTCGCTAATTGCGACCAAAATTAAATCAGTCGCTAAAGCGGTCGCTAATTTCGGTGGCTAAATATGTTTTTTCTTGTAGTGTTGGTCAAACCATATTAAGTTATTCAGGATGGATCGGCCTACATTAAAATAGGTTAAAATGGATGTAAGATGTTCCAGTTAACATTATATATTTGAAAAAAGAAAAAAATATCAAAATATATATGCTTAATTTTTAAAGTGAAATTTAAAATTATATAATTTTAAGTATTAAATTACTATGATAAATTTTAAGAATATTAATTTATTATAGAATTTTTATCCAGACCACTTATTTGGTCAATTATTTTAAATTCTCTATTTTATTATTGATAATTTAGAATAAATTATCTTTATTAATTTAAAATTTTATTGTAAAGTTAAAAAATTACTTGTTTTTAATTCTTATTTATGAAATATATTTTGAAACAATCAAATTATAAAAAGTAAACTGATTTGAGTATAATTTTGTAAAAATAAATCCACTTTTAATAGTATTCATACATAAAATATTTAATTACAAATTTCTTGCAATTCTAACATCTAAATGTTAATAATAATAATAATAAAAAAAATACAAATTTATAATAAGTTACAATGATATCAATTTTAACATTTTAATAACAATAAAGTTTAACACTTAGCGACTGGATATACAAGCTAACTATCAACTAAAATTGTTTAAATTAAAAAACCTTTGAAACCTTTTTTTTTTTTTTAATTTAAACTTCCATGATAATGAACATATACTTTCTTTTTATGCAGAATCAGAATATGCAGAATTAGAATGTACCTCTGATAAATATGAAGTTAATTTTAATATAGTGAGAGAAAAAAATGTTAAACTTGTCCATGATAAAATGATATCCCATACTATTTTGGAATTCAATCATGGAAGACAAGAGAGTGAAAAGGAAATAATAACTCTAAAAGTTTTGTCCGCCATTGATTAAAAGTACAAAGCTTAATTATTTTAATAAAGACGACTGACATTTTCTTTTTTTTTCTTTTACTAAAGCAACTTTAGCTTTTCCTTTCAACAGAAAGGGTTTGCCAGAACACGTGTGGTTGCAGAGAGGATATCTATCATGTTCGTAATGGCCATAGTTACATTGCTGCATAATTTATAAATTATAACCTTTTTATATTAATATATATAACTATTTCAGACAAACATAACACTGCCTCAACACAGGAACCAAAAACATAAAATAACACTATTCCATATGCATGCACTAATAAAATACTTTTGTGTTTTGACGGATATTGAGTTTATAATTTATATAATTTTTAACCTTTTAATGTGCTTTTTTCTGTTATATTTTATTTTTACAAAAATTATATGCTTTTGGATATGTGTTTTGATATTTACACACTTATGGATAATGAAAAATATTATGCATATTCAAATTATATATTTAAAAATATTATCACATTAGGGTTTATCAAGTTTGCTTTCAAATTGACAACTAAAATAAGTCACTTATTTTCATATAGTGTTCAACATCAGATAGTATAAAAAGAATTTGAAAGAACTAATATGATAAAAAGTATCACAGTATCCCTTGGCAAACAATAATAGAATATAGTATTTCCAAATTTGAAGTATGTTGAGGGCTAAACTACATAAACTTCTTGCTTTTATGTGCTTGTGGTTGTGGTGGAGTGCTTGTATTTATGTTGATGCAGCAGGTGACAGTTTAAAGGCCGGCGATACAATGAATTTCTCTTCAGCACTACATTCTAAGAGTCGCAAATATTTTCTAGAGTTTTATTTGCTAGGGAAGTCATCTAATTATTATTTGGGAATACAAAAAGCATATGACAATTTTATAGTTTGGACAGGTAACAGAGAAGAATCTATCTACCAGACTGATGCAGTTCTATCACTAAACTTCTCTGGCGTGCTGAAAATAGAATCTCAAATAGATAAGAAACGAATTATCCTTTATTCTCCTCCTCAACCTATCAACAACACTATGGCCACTTTGTTGGACACAGGCAACTTCGTGCTTCAACAAGTTCACCCCAATGGGACTAACACTCTCTTGTGGCAGAGTTTTGATTATCCAACCGACTTTTTGCTCCCCACCATGAAGTTAGGTGTTAATCACAAAACAGGCCATCACTGGTCACTGGTGTCATGGGTGACCAATGAGCGTGTGGCTCCAGGTGCCTTCAGTCTTGAATGGGAACCGGCGGGACAAGAACTGTTCATAAGGAGACGAGGAAAGGTTTGTTGGCGAAGTGGGAAATTGAGGAGCAATAGATTTGAGCACATTCCAGAAGATGCACAACGCGTGTTGAAGTACAGCATAGTGTCTAACCAGGATGAAGACTCTTTCTCCTTTACATCTACAAATGAAAATCATACACGGTGGTGGTGCCTTTCGAGTAAAGGGCAGTTATCTTACAATAACGAAGAAGGATATGTTGCAAGGGCTGATCTGTGTTATGGATATAACAACAGTGATGGAGGGTGCCAAAGATGGCAGGAAATACCTATGTGCAGGAATCCTGGTGATGTGTTTACCAAAAAGATTCTTCACCCCAATTATGACGATGCAATCTATGATCTAAATTACAATATTAGTTACAGTGATTGTGAGGCCAGTTGCTGGAGCAATTGTTCTTGCAATGGATTCAAAGAATTCTTTTCTGATGGAACTGGATGTAAATTCTATCATTGGAATTCATCCGAAAATTATACTATTGACAGTACTGTTTTTGGTGTAGACTTTTACATACTGGAGAACATAGGAAACATAGCCCCGCATCATCACGGTAGGTCTAATGCCAACTTCCTCGTGCTTTTTATTTATTTATTTATTTATTTGTATAGTCAAACAAGAATTTTCATGACAAAGTTATCAGTGATACCCTAAACATGTACAACAATTTCTTGTAACCTCTCACCAGTCAAGGTGTTTTATGTTAGATTTTAAATACTATATAACTAATTTTCATAAAACCCTAAAATCAGTGTCGCACCCCAAATTTTTGCCATTACTTGTACTTTTTCTACCACTATTTATGCAGGATCACTAATCATAAATGCTAATATATTACAAAATTATAGACAAATTCAGTGACCTTGGACAATATTCCACATCTCTCTCTCTACTTCCATCAAGTAGCTAATTATTGACCCTTCTGATAAAGAATGCACATATGGGGATTCGATACGTTTTCCATGTAGAAAAAGAATATAGAAATTCATCTATGAACCCTTGAATCCATGCCCAAGAATAATGAAGAGTAATTTACTTCATGATCCTATTCCTACTTTCGTATAAATTACATACCCTTGATGAAGAGTAAAATACTAGTGCATTTCTTTATTTGTTCGTTAGTCTTTGAATTAATTGTGCGCTTGATTCCTCATAGTTTCGTCTATGCATGATTTTGGTCATTTATATTATTTTTTACCCAGCTAAAATCTTCTATTTTAAAAATAAAAACAAACAATTGATAAAGCCATTAATTGATACTTGAAGTTGATGATTTTCCGTAGCTATTCTATGCAGGTACAGAAAGGTGGATATGGATAAGTCCAGTAATAGCAACTGCTGTGATAATATGCGTATCCATTCTATGCCTAGCCATAAAGAAACGAAAATATGTGCATCAAGGTAGTTACTGTTCTTCAAACTCATTTTTCTCCTTGCTTTACTAAACACAATTCTTCAATTATCTTCCTATATTTTAATATTTCTTATTTTTGTCTTAACAGAGAAGAAAAGGAAAGAAATGGTTATGAAAATGCAGAAGTCAGAAACTTGTGACGGGTTATCTCCAATCAAAGATTTTGGAAATGGTTTTAGAAAGGGACACGATTTAGAAGAGTTCGATTATACATTGGTTGTGACGGCTACAAATGGATTTTCATCTGAAAATAAGTTAGGACAGGGAGGTTTTGGACCAGTTTATAAGGTGATCGAAACCACTAAAGTTATGTATTCATATTATGTTAGAGGACTCATGGCCTTTTTATTGTCATTTTAGGGGATTTTGCCAATAGGAAAGGAGGTCGCTGTAAAAAGACTCTCAAAAAGTTCTGCGCAAGGAATTGTGGAGTTTAAGAATGAACTAACACTTATATCTGAACTTCAGCATATGAATCTTGTTCAACTACTTGGTTGTTGCATTCATGAAGAAGAGAAGATTCTAATTTACGAGTATATGGCGAACAAAAGCTTGGATTTCTATATTTTCGGTGAGGATTTGTTAGTGATTATCTAACTATGTATTGGTTTTAGATGTCAAAAACATAAAATTTGTTGTCATTATTACGCTGTTATACAAAAGTTATTGTTGATGATTGATTTACTATATCTTCATAAGTCTTCCTATTTTGTGTTTTTTTCACTTATATAATATACATTCTAACGCACATAATTATACAACCATGAGAAGATTGTACAAGAAGCAAATTACTAGATTGGAATAAGCGCTCCAACATAATAGAAGGAATTGGCCAAGGATTATTGTATCTTCACAAGCACTCAAGACTCAAAGTCATTCATAGAGACTTGAAAGCCAGTAACATACTTCTTGATGAAAACATGAATCCAAAAATTTCAGATTTTGGAATGGCAAGAATGTTTACACAACAAGAGTCCGTATCAAATACTAACAGGATCGTCGGGACATAGTGAGCGTCTGCTAAACTCTTTGTTACATTTATTTCATATTGATATATAAATAAAATTCATTAATATTTCTTGCAGTGGTTACATGTCTCCGGAATATGCCATGGAAGGAGTTTTTTCTACCAAATCTGATGTGTATAGCTTTGGAGTATTGTTGCTTGAGATTGTTTGTGGAAGAAAAAACACAAGCTTTTATGATGATGAACGCCCATTAAATCTAGTTGGACATGTATGTTAAATTTGCTTCACTGAGTTTGTTTTTTGGCATCATATTCTTTATGTCTGATTTGACTAAAATACTGACAGGTATGGGAATTATGGAAAGATGGAAAGTATTTGGAATTAGTGGATCCATCATTGGAGGAGTTATTTGATGGTGATGAAGTGCAGAGGTGCATTCATGTTGGTCTCTTGTGCGTTGAACATTATGCAAATGATCGACCCACAATGTCTAACATTATATCAATGCTGACAAACAAGAGTCCAATAGCTTCCTTACCTCAAAGACCAGCATTCTACTTTCAAAGAGAGATCCGTAATCAGAATTTATCTTCTACATGTACTGTTTCCACAGTAGAAATCACTACTTCGTTGGAAATAGAATAAACCTGAATGATTTATGTAGTAATTAAAAATTAAACTAGATATATATTGACTTGCCCATTGCCAGTTAAGAACTGTTTGTTATATTTTGAAGAGACTATAGAGGTTTGGTTTTATGTAGAGTTATCTTTGACGTGGTGGGATCTGCTATACATAGATTCATAGGGAAGGATTTTCTTATCAACAAACACGGTTTATCTTGTTTTAGATTTTCTTTTCTTTCATAAATTTTGGTTTATGTCTCTCATAATATTTTTCATATTTTTCTGCTATAAATAATATTTTACATAGTTGCATATGATTGATGAATCCTGGCGTGTTAATGTAGTTGATATAGCATTGATTGTAACTTTTAGTATTTTTGGAAGGATAGAAAATATGATTTGATATTTAGTAGTAAGATTTGTGTAAAAAATAACTTTTAGAAAGAGGTAGACAAATAGGAGAAGGTTTGTATGAGGGAAGATAGTAATTGATCTTGGAAGTGTTACATTTCAAGTGAGGGGGTCACCACCTATATATAGACATGAGACACTCCTCTCTAGAATATTCTAAGAATTTAGAGATGATTCTTCCTACATTACATTTTAACTTATCATTCTAGATTTTTCTAGTAATTCTAGAGGCTATGTACATAAAGTTTACAATTCTAATAGTCTCTAGAACTTAAGGAAGTTTCTAGAACTTAATTTTCTCGATCTTTCTAGAATTTACATTACTTTTCAACACTCCTCCTTGATGCAAATTCTTGTAACTTCAAGGATGAAACGTAATTGTTCAAACTTGGCTCTTGGTAGTGCCTTGGTAAATATGTCTGCAATTTGATCTTTTGTAGTACAGTACTCAAGTTGAATTTGTTTAGTCGCTTCAACCTCTCTAATGAAGTGATATTTAATAGTTATATGTTTTGTTATTTGATGATGAACTAGATTTTTTGTCGTTGTTATTGCTGATTTGTTATCACAATAAATTGTAGTAGATCCATATTGTTGTTTTCCCATCTCTTCAAGTATTCTTCGGAGCCATATAGCTTGACTTGTAGCCTCAGCTATCATGTACTCTGCATCTGCTGTTGATTGTGCTACTGTTGCTTGCTTCTTAGATGCCCAAGAGAAAAATCTTGATCCAAGTGAGAAGGCATAACATGATGTACTCTTCATGTCATCTATAAATCCTGCCCAATCACTATTAGTGTAGCCAATCAACTTTGAGTCGTTCATAATTTTGTACCATATACCAAAGTCCTTTTTGCCTGTAGATATCTTAAAATCCTTTTTGCTACTCCAAAGTGAATTTGACTTGATCTTTGCATGAACTTTGATAGAAGGCTTGTATCATACATGATATCTAGTCATGTAGCAGTAAGATATAGTAAGCTTTCAATCAAACTTTTGTAACGTGATGCGTAAGCTTCTGGTGCTCCATCATCTTTTTGTAACTTCTCATTTGTCATGAGTGGAGTAGCCACAAATTTTCAACCATACATCTTGAATTTCTTTAATAAAGCTTCGGTGTATTTCTTTTGAGAAATAAATATACCATCCTTTTGTTGTCTTACCTCTATGCCGAGAAAATAATTCATCAAGCCAAGGTCGCTTATTTCAAATATTTTCATCATGTCTTCTTTGAATTCTCTTATTATCTCTTTACTGTTTCCTGTGTAGATAAGATCATCTACATATAGAGAGACAATGAGAATATCATACTGATCTTGAGTTTTGATATATAATGTTGGCTCACTCTTACTCCTCCTGAATCCTTAATTAGTGAAGTACTGATCAATTCTGTTGTACCATGCTCAAGGAGCTTACTTTAAGCCATATAGTGCTTTTCTTAGTCTTAATACTTTGGCTTCATTTCGTTTGCTTATAAAGTCTTGTGATTGTTCCACGTATATCTCTTCTTCTAGTACACCATTTAGAAAGGCTGATTTAACATCCAATTGGTGAATGCTTCATCCTTTTTGTGCTGCAAGAGCTATTAAAGCTCTAATTATATCTAGATGAGCAACTGGGGCAAATGTCTAATTATAGTCGATTCTAGGTTGTTGTGAATAGCCCTTTGCTACCAGCCTTGCCTTGTGCTTTTGTATGGTGTCGTCAAGATTGAGCTTTGTTTTATAAATCCATTTTACTCCAATTACGTCCTTTCCAAGTGGGCAATCTACTAGTTCCCAAATATTATTCTTTTCGATCATTTTAATTTCTTCCTACATTGCCTTGATCCAGACTTCTTGCTTTGTAGTCTCTTCAAAGCATTCAGGATCAAGCATTGTCATGTTGCATGTTTCATATATATCCACCAAGGATCTTACTCTCCTAGGAGTAAATTCTGGTGAAAAGTCTTGTTGTACAAATAAAGGAAGTGTACCTGGATCTTCTGCCACTTCTTGAATTTTTTCTTGGGATTGTTGTACTGGAAGGAAGATGTTGTTTCTCATGATTCTTCCATCTTCCCAATTCCAAGAAGCATTTTCATCAACCTCAACATCTCGACTGATGGTGAGCTTCTTTGTTTGCAAGTTATAAAGTCTATAGCCTTTGTTTTTGTGTTATATCCCAAGAAGATTCCTTGTGTAGTCTTGTCTTCTAATTTGTGCCTTTTTTGATCTGGCACATGCATATAATAGATAGATGTTGAATTATTGACAAGCGTACCAAATTATCAATCGCAGTATAGTATTTCGATTAAATAAAAGTCGATCCCACGAGGAACAGTTTCAATGAAAATTCCCAATTATGCTTACTAAGTAGATTAAAACAGATTAGATTTTGCAAATAAGAGTTGAATTGAAATTAAATGACAAAGACTTGTAAATTGTTGAGAAAATATCAATTAAAGGTACTTAGGATTGGCTTCCTTCCTTATCCCTCTTTTGTAATGGCTAAATCAATTAAGAACGTCAATTAACCTAACAATGTTGATGTCACCTACTCAAATCATCCATGTTGATTCCTCACACATGAAATTCATAAGAAAACCTAATAAATGTTGATTCCTCACACAATTAACAGATTTTCCAGCATTAGGGTTAGGGTGTTAAGCAATTGATACATTCATTCCATTCCTGGCAATTAACGTAACAAATATTCTTACCGTGATCTAGGGTTCAAGATATATTTTCCAATCATACCTCAAATAATCAAGAATAAATCATTCTAAAGCATAAAGGATAAGAATAACAACATCAAAGCATAGATTAATATATCAAAATATCACCATGATACAAAAGAGTTCAAAGGAAGTGCACCGAATCCTAAGAGAATGAAGTTAGTCACTCATATTGGCCATTATAATGCTCCAATTGATGAAGAAGAATTGATGAAGATTGGACAAAACCCTAACAGTAGTTGTGTCTCCTCTCCTCCAAGACTGTTTGCCTCTCTCAAAACACAACTTATCTTTTTATAAGAGAATTTGGGTCGGACCTCGCATCATTTATTCGCTTAAGCGCTCTTCTTTCTTTCAATTTTACTCTAATTATGCTGACAATTATGCTTCTTCCTTTTGTATCAAGGTATTCTCGAATTCATCCTATATTGGGAGAAAAATATATTAGAATTAACATAAGTTAAGTGGTTTCATAACAATTCAAGGCATAATTATATCAACTTTTTACCACTTAACAATAGATCCAAAAACTCTTAAGTGTTTAGCTGATGGTTTTTGCCTACTCCAAGCTTCAATTGGAGTCTTGTCTTGGACTGCCTTAGCTAGGCATCTATTGAGTATATACACGACAGTGTAGACCACTTCTTCTCAAAACGTATTTGGCAAGCCTTTCTCCTTCAACATTGATCTCGCCATCTCTATCATTGTACGATTCTTTTTCTTTCGGATACACCATTTTGTTGTGGTGTATATGCAATTATAAGTTGTCTTTCAACTCCTTCATCTTCACAAATTTTTATCAAACTCATGTGAGCTATATTCTTTACCTCAATCACTTCTAAGAACTTTTATGTGTCTTCCACTTTGTTTCTAGACGAGAGCTATAAACTTCTTGAATATTCCAAGGACTTCTGATTTTTCTTTGATGAAGTAAACTCAGGTCATTCTAGAAAGAATCATCGATGAAAAGGATAAAGTACTTGTTATTGTTTAGTGACGGCGTCATCATCGGTCCACAAATGTTTGTATGGATTAATTCCAACAAACCTTTTGCTCTCCATCCTCTTTCGGTTGAAAATGGTAATCTATGTTGCTTCTCGAGAAGACATCCTTCACAAGCTTCATAATTCTCTTTCAGGTATGGGAAATCTCTCATTATATTCTTCTGATGTAAAAGCTTCAAAGCCATGAATCATCAACTTGAACTTTCATGGCAATATCAGTAGTATATTTGAAGCTTATAGGAAAATTTCTATTTCTTTTCTCCATTTTTACTTCTCTTATCTCTTGTCTTTTATTGTCATAGATTTTACATATATCTCCTTTGAAGTGAAGAGAATAGTCTTTCTCCATCATTTGTCCAATGCTCAAGATATTTTCTTTTATATTAGGAATGAGTAAGACATCTTTAATAAGTCTCGTACCTTTCTTAATGTTCACTGCAATAGTGTCTCTTCCTTTTTTCTCTACTAGTGTGACATTTCCTAATCGTACTTTCACTTTGATAGAGTCATCAATGTCCCTGAAAGTGTTTTCGTCTTTGGCCATGTGATTACTGCATCCGCTATCCAAATACCAATTTCTGTTTATTTCATCATTGGAGTCTCAAGTAGCATAAAAAGATGTTGTTGAAGGTCATGTTTTAAGCAAAATTTGTTTGATGTTTGTTTTTTATGCGATAATTTTTATTCACATGTCCAAACTTCTTGTTGACTTTGAGATTTTTCACGATGCCAACAATCTTTCTCCAAGTGACTTGACTTTTTGCAGATGCCACAAGGAGAAAATTTATCTTAACTAGACTTGGAGAAATTTCTAGAGTTTTCTTTATTTCTAGAAATTTCTTCAATTTTCTTTCCTCTAATTTCTTTATTTTGAGACCGTAATTTGAGTTTTGATTGAAAGACATTTTCGATAGAATCTTCATTATACATTTTCAATCTTTGCTCATATGCTTCAAGAGAACCTATTAGTTCTGTCACCGATAAGGTAGACAGATCATTGATTTGTTCAATTGTTGTCACAATTGCATCATATTTGTGGGAAATAGAAATTAAAATTTTTTCAACAATTTTCTTGTCTAGAATATTTTCCCCACATGCTCTCATTTGACAAGTTATCTCTTTAATTCTAGTATAATAGTCTTTAATGGTCTCAGACTTTCATACTCAATAATTCAAACTCATGTCTTAGAGTTTGAAGTTTAATGGTGCGTACCTTTACACTTCCTTGAAACTCCTCGTGTAGTGTGCTTCACGCTTCTTTGACACTTGTGTCATCCATTATTCTTGGAAAAATTACATCAACCACAACTTGTTGTAGAAAGTATAATGCCCTTGAATCTTTTTGCCTGTTCTCTTTCAACTCTTTCTTCTTAGTTGCTCTTAATGTAGAAACATATGTAAGGGTAATGAAGTCATCTTCAACAATCTCCCACAGATTTTGAAAGTAAAAAAATATCTTCATTTTAATGCTCTAAAAGTCATAATTTTCTCCTGTGAAGATAGGTAGAGGAATAGATGAAGAAGAGTTTACATTAGTCATTGATTGAAATTGGTATGAAATATAGTAGAACTTTTTGAAGGTGGTTGGATTGTATCTATGCCAAATAGATGATCAAATGTAGCTCTGGTACCACTGCTAGTATTTTAGGAAGGATATGAAAGATCGTTTGATGTTTAGTAATGAGATTTGTGTAGAAAATAATTTTTAGAAGGAGGTGGGTAAATAGGAGAATGTTTGTAAGAGAGAAGATAGTAATTGATCTTGGAAATGCTATACTTCAAATGATGGGGTCACCACCTATATATAGGCATGAGACACTCCTTTCTAGAATCTTCTAGGAATTTAAAGATGATTCTTCCTACATTTCACTTTAACTTATCATTCTAGATTTTTCTAGTAATTCTAGAGAATACATAAAATTTACAATTCTAATAATCTCTATAACTTAAAAAGGAAGTTTCTAGAACTTAATTTTCTTTATCTTTCTAGAATTTACCTTACTTTTCAACCATAACACGTGTAAACCAAATGGTGGTATAGAGCATATGTAACACCATTGTCTGCTGTCACCAAATTCGGAAAGTAGCTGGCGTAGTCTATTTCGAATCAAATAAATGGTATTCTCTTCCTAAATGAAAGGACAGATATGCTGAAGAGACATTTACTTTGACCCAATTAAAGGAATGCTCTGATCACTAATTAAGTGCTAAAAGCTTCACTTATTGTGTCTGCAGTCCTCTTTGGCTTAATTCAGGTGCCATGCCTGTGGTGAGAAAGAACTAAGGAAGTAGCATCATCTTCTTAAATGTTTGGCAGAGGTGGCATATTTAACAAGCCATACAACTTGATTAATTTAAATTCATTGACTGTGAACATATCTCTGATAAATATGAAGTTTACTGTAATGGGAAAAAAGTGTTAAACTTGTCCATGTTAAACGATATCCCATACTATCTTTGGAGTTTTTAATCATTGAAGACAAGAGAATGATGACTCCAAATGAAAAAGAAATGAAAGATGCAAAAGGTTATGTCGGCCATTATTAAAGTAGAAGGCTTAATTATTTCAATAAAGATGACTGGTATTCTTCTTTTCTTTAACTAAAGCAACTTTAATTTTTTCTTTCAGCAGAAAGGGTTTGCCACATTCAGAACACTGTAATTACAGAGAGGAAATCTAAAATGTTCTTCCCTTTTCTTCACTGGTAATGGCCATAGTTACATTGCTGAAATCAAGATAATGTATAATTTTTTTATGTTACTATAATTATCTCAAGCAAATATAACTCTAACCCAGAAATAAAACCAAAATAATAATAATAATAATATTATTATTATTATGAAATATTTTTTTTGTTTTATTACTTATATACAATGTTATATTAAGTAAAACTATTTTCTGTAAAAAGACGTTGTAATTATATTTATAAAATCAATAAGACATTCTCACTTCACATTTGTTTTTGAAACAACTAAATATGAAGAAATGCATCACTCTCTCAACCCTTGGAAAACCACAGATAATAGTCTTTCCATAATTGAAGTAAGGTATGAGGTTTAACCTACTGAAACTTCTTGCTTTCATGTGGTTGTGGTTGCGGTGGAGTACTTATATTCATGTTCAAGCAGCAGATGACAGTTTAAAGCACGGTGATACACTGAATGTCTCTTCACCAGAACTATATTCTAAGAGTCGCAAATATTGTCTAGATTTTTTTTTTTTGGCTAAAGGATGAAGCATCTATTTATATTTACTTGGTAATAGAAAATGCATATGACACTACTATAGTTTGGATGGGTAACAGAGAACAACCTGTGGACCATACTGATGCAGTTCTATCACTAAACTTCTCTGGCGTGCTGAAAATAGAATCTCAAATTGCTGGAAAAAAAAATTATCCTTTATTTTCCTCCTCAACCTATCAACAACACTAAGGTCACTTTGTTAAACACAGGCAACTTCGTGCTTCAACAACTTCACCCTAATGGGACTAACACTCTCTTGTGGCAGAGTTTTGATTATCCCACCTACACTTTGATCCCCACCAGGAAGTTAGGTGTTAATCATAAAACAGGCCATCATTGGTTACTGGTTTCAAAGTTGACCGAAGTGCTTGCGACTTCAGGTGCCTTTAGTCTTGAATGGGAACCGAAGGGACAAGAACTGATCATGAAGAAACGAGGAAAAGTTTGTTGGCGAAGCGGGGAATTGAGGAACAATAGATTTGAGCACATTCCGGAGGATGCACAACGCGTGTTGAAGTACAGCATAGTGTCTAATGAGGATGAAGACTCCTTCTCCTTCACATCTACTAATGAAAATCATACACGGTGGTGGTTCCTATCGGATACTTGACGGTTATCTTACAATTACAATCAAGGATATGTTGTAAGGGCTGATCTGTGTTATGGACATAACAACAGTGATGGAGGGTGCCAAAGATGGCAGGAGATACCTAAGTGCAGGAATCCTGGTGATGTGTTTACCAAAAAGATTCTTTACCCCAATTATGAGGATGTAATAGTTGATGAAAATGAAAATATTAGTCACAGTGATTGTGAGGCCAGTTGCATTGGATTCCGAGTATTCAATTCTGATGGAACTGGATGTCTATTATATCATTGGAATTCATCAGAAAATTATACTATTGGCACCACTGTTTCTGGTCTAGACATTTACTTAGTGGAGAACACACGGAACATAACACCGCATCATCACGGTAGGTCAAATGCCAACTTCCTCGTGCTTTTTTTTTATTAGACTACCAAGAATTTTCATCACAATCATATCAGTAAACCCTAAAACATGCATACAAGTATTTATGTCAGGTTTATAAATACTATCAAGACTAATTTTCTTCGTGATCATGTTATAACTCTGTTAGTTAGTTGTTCTGTCAAATCCTACAAATAGGAATGGCAAGTTATAGCACATACACAAAATAATTGTAATCTTTTCCTTATATTTGAATGCAATTGGTTCCCACAGTCGGATTCAAACTTTATGTATCTTCTCTTTCTCTCCTCTGGTGTTACTCTCTTCCTCTTCTTGTGTTTTCTTCCTTTCTCCTCCGTTGCAATCACTGCTCATTGTTTCAATCCTATCAAGTGGTATCAAAGTTTAACGATCTTGGTTATGGCTGACGCAACACGCTCCGCAACCGCGTACAAAAGGAAATGGAAGAATGTCTAGCTGCAATAATTGAAGGCAGAATCGCGGATTTAGTTGGCAATATTAAATGCACTTTGGCCGAGTCTTTAAAAGATACTTATATATATTTTATTTTTATTTCTTGATGTAACACTAAGTTAATTATTTTTTTATAAACTATGTATTTAAAATGTTGTTGTAAAAAATATATCATAGTTCAATTTTTATTAATTTAATGTATTTTTCATAGTTATATATATATATATATATATATATATATATATATATATATATATATATTCATAATGCATATTTCTTTTCTTTTTTTTTAGAAGAAATAATTTGATAAAATAAATACTCAAATTGATGCAGTCAAACTTCATTCTTCTCCAAAGCTCAAGATGGCTTGTGCAACCCACTTGCAGAAGGTTACAAATATAAATTTTGAATCAAGCAAATTAACTAGTGAGATAATCCAATTTAGCTGAATTAAAGGTCAATAGGAATCAAGAATTAAATATGAATCAATGCTAGATAACTCAAAATAGGAAAGAAGCATATTATTTTTTCTAAATCGGTTACAGAATTTTTTTTTTTACAATTATTTATTTGGGAAACATTTAATTTTAGTATAATTAATTTTAGGCTTAATTTCTTTTCTTCAATCTCCTATAAATAGAGGTCTTAGGACAATGTATACGATCATAATCTCCTAACTCCGAGACGAGCTACTTTTAGTTTCGTCCCCATTTTCTTTTTTCACTCTCAATTTCTAGTTTAATTTTTAGCTCAACAAGTTCATATATTGTTACTACATTACACTTTCAGTTCTTTTATTTAATATTTAATTTCTATTGAATTTTTTAGTTTATATTGTTCTATTTATTTTATTCATTTAGTGTTCATTCTAATAGTTGTTATTTAATTGTTTAAAATTTTTATTTTATTCCAATACTGATTAATCTTTATTTGTAATTCATTTCTTTTCCAATTTCAATTCTCAACTCAATTTTAGAGTTATCGCTTCCGAAATTTAATTTTAATTACTACGCTATTTTATTTTAAAGTAATTTTTTATTCTTTCACTTTTAATTAAAAACACTTTATTTTAATTTTATAAATTTTAGTAATTTAAATTCTGCATCAATTTAATTTTAATTACTACACTATTTTGTTTTAAAGTAATTTTTTATTCTTGCACTTTTAATTAAAAATAGTTTATTTTAGTTTTATAAATTTCAATTATTTAAATTCTCCTTCCATTTAATTTTAATTATCGTTAATATTCTATAGTAATTCAATTTTAATTTTTATTATTCCGCATCAATTTATTTTTCACACTTTCATTCATCCCCTAATTATTGTTATCTAGAGAAAACACTTTCATTCATCTCCTATTTAATGTTATCTAAAGAAAATAATATGTGATAATGATTACATTCCTATGATTGTGTTCTTGTGAAATTCGATACTGGTAATATACACTACAAGAAAAAACGCTATTAACAACCGACAAAATCGGTCGCTAATGGGCAAAAATCGGTCGCTATTCTGTTAGCGACCGAAATTAGCGACCGAAATGGTTGGTCGCAAAAGGGCAAGTCGCTAATTTGTTAGCGACCGATGAGGTGGTCGCTAATGTGGTCGCTAAATAATTTGGTCATGTTAGAAAAGTAGTTTTAAATCAAGAGGGGGGGTGAATTGATTTTTGAAAGTTTTTCGCAATACACAGATTATCTAATTCGAAAATTAAGATTACTTATCAATTCACAAATCACAAAGCAATCAAACAGTTTAAGTGCAGCAGCAGAAATTAAAGAGAGAAAGGTTAGGAAAGATTTCACCGGTAATTTTATACTGGTTCACCCAATACCAGGGCTACGTCCAGACTCCAGCCAAATTCCAGCTGGGTTCCACTAGAATAGATGTTTTACAGACTCACCCTCTTACACCTATTCTAACTCTCCACCAAGAACCAAATTCCAGCTCTTGGAAACCTCTGCAACCAAATTTCAGCCGCAGAGAAACCAGTGCCCAAATTCCAGGCACCACACACAAGAACCAAATTCCAGCTCTTGCTTACAACCTTCCCACCAAGAACCAAATTCCAGTTCTTGGCAACTTTCTACAACAGCTGCAGAAAACTTGTACCCAAATTCCAGGTACAAAACAAGTACAAATGAATGAATAGAAATTTAAAAGAAGAAACAAAGAAAGCTCAAACCGGATTACACCAATCCACGATCAGTTTCTTCTTCAAAGAAATGCAAAGTGCCTCAAGAAAGATTTCAAAAGAAGTTCACAAAAACAGTTGTGTATCTTTCTTGAAAAATGCTAATAGTTGCTTGTATTGATTGCTTGAATTGTGTCAAAACTGATATGATAAAAGTTCCAAGCAATTCTGTTTATAAAAGAGTATTTTCAAATCTGCTGCATTAATTAATCTGTTGAAAGTTTGTTTTAATCTGTTGAAATAGCCGTTACAATCTGTTAAAAGTCCTTTCAACCCATTAATGCGTTCTTGATCTTTAACAGAAAATGTTTTAGTTGATACGACCACGTTTTTATCAGTTAAAACGTTTTACAAACATTTTCTAAGTATAAAACAATCGATTGAATCACGTATTAATCGATTGATTTGTTTAAAAACCTCTTTCTAAAACTTTCCAAGTTATTTTAGCTGATATAAAGTCGTTTCAATCGATTGAAAATCTGCACATATATTTTCAAGTCATTTTAATCGATTGAAAGTTCGTTTTAATCGATTGAAAAGATTTTCTAAGTTATTCTAATCGATTGAAATGCGTTTTAATCGATTGAAATAAGTCTGATCGGTCATAATTCAATTCTGATCGATCATAACCAACTCTGATCGGTCATAATCTCATTCTGATCGATCATACTGACATCCAAAGTGATTTTAATCGATTGAAACGTGTTTTAATCGATTAAAATAATTCTAATCGCTCATATTTAAGATCTGATCGATTATATTGCATTCTGACCTATTATATTCGAATTCTAATCGGTCATAAAGAGTTTTAATCGATTAAAAGAAGTTTGTATCGATTAAAATATTGTAAAAACACTTTTTAAAACATTCTAAGTGTTTTAAATTGATTCTTTCAAACCTTTATCAGTTAATAACTTGTTTAAGAAAATTCTTTGCCAAAATGCTTTTGTTTTTTATTTGTTTAAAACTATTTTTGAGGCATTTTGCAAATTGAGTGAAGAAGCTTTATGCGGTGGAAAAGGTAAAGTGGTTTTACCTAAGCTTTCTGTTTAGACACACTAAGTCTTCAGCTCCTTTGTTCTGAGTGACTTGTTTGACTCGCTGCAGAGTTGACCCTTGACTTTATCTTTGACTTCATCAAATCAATGAGATCTTTGCTAGGATCACTTTCAGTCTCCCCTATTTGATGAAGACAAACACCATTTTGAAAAAACAATCTCTCGCAAAATAAGTCACTTGATAATGCAGTTAGGTGAGAAATACAAGAATGTAATAAAGTTTTGTTTCTCCCCCTAAAACTTATTTCTCCCCTAAAATGTTGTTCTTAAATTTATCTTAAAGTGATGCAACTATTTCTCCCCCTTTTGACTTCATCAAAAATAGGGAATAGAAGAGAGAAGAATGTAAGGTTTCGAAAAATATGCTCAAGTTTTTGAAAATACAAAAGTGAATCAATATTTCACTCATGAAAAGAATCAATTAAAGTTGATTCAAACTTATCTCCATTAACACGTTTGTAATGAATACAATTAACACGTGTAAAGATAAGGGAATCACGCTTTAGTAGCATGTTTACGAAAACGACCATTAACTAAAGCCTTTAATCTTTCTTCCCGAATAAAAATCGATTAAAAACAGAGCATAATCGGTTAAAATGTTCTTGGTAAATGATTTTAATCGATTGAAAGAAAAGTTTAATCGATTAAAACATTTAAGATTTTGAAAACATGAAACTTTAGTAAAAATAATCGATTATTTCGATTTTAAATCGATTAAAACGAGTAATGAAAACTGTTGTTTAAGTTTATTTAACCGATTAAAAGGTGTTTTTATTGACTAAAACAACCAGACTTGCACTCTAAGTAATGTTTGATGCATCTAAGATGCCTAACTCGAGTGCGAATTTTGTAAAACTGATCATTTAGAAGGATGTTTTAACAATACTAACAGCCTATCTTAGCTAATAGATCTATCAGAATAAAGTCTTATTTAGCTAAAGCTCTCGAGGATCTATTTAAATTCTAATTACGCCAGATCTGATCTAGATTAGATCCTAAACCATATTTAACCAAAGGTTAAGGCAAATGTTCCTGGTATAACACCAGTTAATATCACGATCCATGCAAACAATATAAAGATAGAAATAAGCGGAAGATAAAGATGATGAGGGGAACTAGTCATCCCAATTTCCCTGATTGAACTGCTTATCCACCAGCTTGGTGATCATTCATTTGATTCCCACCAATATCAAAAGATAATAGGCTTTCCTTTTGCTCGGAACTAATTTTGCTCTATCAACTATTTGAGTCAACAACTCGCTGTCACTCCTGTATCGACAACAGCACACGTAAACTTTTCCCGAAAAGAAATCTTTTAG